CTACTTATCTTTATAACTTCCCATTTATGACTGAGCCTACTCATCTTTACGACTTTCCCTTTTATGACTAAGCCTACTTATCTTTACAACTTTTCCTTTTTATGACTAAGCCTACTTATCTTTATAACTTTCCCTTTTATGACTAAGCCTACTTATCTTTACAACTTTTCCTTTTTATGACTGAGCCTACTTATCTTTACAACTTTCCTTTTTAATGACTAAGCCTACTTATCTTTATAACTTTTCCTTTTTATGACTAAGCCTACTTATCTTTATAACTTTCCCATTTATGACTAAGCCTACTTATCTTTATAACTTTTCCCATTTATGACTGAGCCTACTTATCTTTATAACTTTCCCATTTATCACTAAGCCTACTTATCTTTACAACTTTCCTTTTATGACTAAGTCTACTTATCTTTATAACTTTCCTTTTATGACTAAGCCTACTTATCTTTATAACTTTCCCATTTATGACTAAGCCTACTTATCTTTACAACTTTCCCATTTATGACTAAGCCTACTTATCTTTACAACTTTCCCTTTTTATGACTAAGCCTACTTATCTTTATAACTTTCCCATTTATGACTAAGCCTACTTATCTTTACAACTTTCCCGTTTATGACTGAGCCTACTTACCTTTACAACTTTCCCTTTTATGACCAAGCCTACTTATCTTTATAACTTTCCCATCTATCACTAAGCCTACTTATCTTTATAACTTTTCCTTTTATGACTAAGCCTACTTATCTTTATAACTTTCCCATTTATGACTAAGCCTACTTATCTTTATAACTTTCCCATTTATGACTAAGCCTACTTATCTTTACAACTTTCCCATTTATGACTAAGCCTACTTATCTTTATAACTTTCCCTTTTTATGACTAAGCCTACTTATCTTTATAACTTTCCCATTTATGACTAAGCCTACTTATCTTTACAACTTTCCCTTTTATGACTGAGCCTACTTACCTTTACAACTTTCCCTTTTATGACCAAGCCTACTTATCTTTATAACTTTCCCATCTATCACTAAGCCTACTTATCTTTATAACTTTTCCTTTTATGACTAAGCCTACTTATCTTTATAACTTTCCTTTTATGACTAAGCCTACTTATCTTTATATCTTTATAACTTTCCTTTTATGACTAAGCCTACTTATCTTTATAACTTTTCCTTTTATGACTAAGCCTACTTATCTTTATAACTTTCCTTTTATGACTAAGCCTACTTATCTTTATAACTTTCCCTTTTAATGACTAAGCCTACTTATCTTTATAACTTTCCCTTTTAATGACTAAGCCTACTTATCTTTATAACTTTTCCTCTTATGACCAAGCCTACTTATCTTTACAACTTTCCCATTTATGACTGAGCCTACTTATCTTTATAACTTCCCATTTATGACTGAGCCTACTTATCTTTATAACTTTTCCTTTTATGACTAAGCCTACTTATCTTTATAACTTTCCTTTTATGACTAAGCCTACTTATCTTTATAACTTTCCCTTTTAATGACTAAGCCTACTTATCTTTATAACTTTTCCTTTTATGACTAAGCCTACTTATCTTTATAACTTTCTTTTCATGACTAAGCCTACTTATCTTTATAACTTTCCCTTTTAATGACTAAGCCTACTTATCTTTATAACTTTTCCTTTTAATGACTAAGCCTACTTATCTTTATAACTTTTCCTCTTATGACCAAGCCTACTTATCTTTACAACTTTCCCATTTATGACTGAGCCTACTTATCTTTATAACTTCCCATTTATGACTGAGCCTACTTATCTTTATAACTTTCCCATTTATCACTAAGCCTACTTATCTTTATAACTTTCTTTTTTATGACTAAGCCTACTTAACTTTATAGTTTTTCCTTTTATGACTAAGCCTACTTATCTTTATAACTTTCCTTTTATGACTAAGCCTACTTATCTTTATAACTTTTCCTTTTATGACTAAGCCTACTTATCTTTATAACTTTTCCTTTTAATGACTAAGCCTACTTATCTTTATAACTTTTCCTCTTATGACCAAG